AAAGTTCTACTGACTGTTACTCACAGTAATTTTTTCTTTATAGTTTAGTAGTTGAATAGTCAGGATGTTGCAAAGCCTGAGTTGAATTCGTGTCTTTCCAGACAGTTTTGCCAGGAGTGTTAGGGTCATGAATGCCAGGTACCGTTTTTTATGAGGGGTCTTTTTAGATGATGTTTGTGATGTAAATTTGAACTGTAAATTCCAGTAAGGGAAAGCCTGTGGCTATAAAATTGAGGTTTTTTGTTGATTTCCTCAAAGCTGTTAAATCTAACTCTCCTAGATTATAAAGACTGGACATTTCCCTAATTAGTCAGCATATCAGTACCTTCTTACTGATCTGGTTTTAAGTTCCCTTTCAGTTTTTGCTCTGGGGTAATAAAACAGTGTGTAGAAGAAAATCAGACTGGAAGAGTAAGATGTAGCTGAATTGACTGATATCTATTGCTGTGTAATGGGTAGTAAACAAGCACAAAAACTGGATAAGCACATTAATGCCTTTGGATAACAGAGCCAAGTAATGGACTTTTTTCATTGGCATTTATATATATGATTAGAGTTTTCATATGATGGCTTGCAGCTATTAGTCCTCATATAATATGTGTCTGTGTCACAAAGTGATGGGTGAAGCAAGTAGTTATTCTGGAATTAATTTAATAAGTCTTCTTGTAAAAAGGAATACTTTGTTGTTTTTTGTTTCCAAGCTTGTTTGATGCTTTGTGAATGGATCTGTTTACAGCTCTCAAAGTTAGAACAATTACCCCTGTATATTTTTACTCTAACTTGTTTCATATGAAAGCCTACATAGTAAAAATGAGGGTAGCTGTGATTTTATTATAGTCATCTTTGCCCTACATGGTGCATGTCAAAATCCTTATCTGTTCACCTTTCTTCTTCCTTATTCCTCTAGAGGAAGCTGCTCTAAAAATAGCTCCAGTGATAGATGTTCCCCCACGTGGTCAGATTGCTGAATCATTTAATTCTTTTTTTTTTTTTTTTTTGAGATGGAGTCTTGCTCTGTCGCCCAGGCTGGAGTACAGAGGTGCGATCTCAGCTAACTGCAACCTCCGTCTCCCGGGTTCAAACAATTCTCCCGTCTCAGCCTCCTGAGTAGCTGGGACTACAGGCACACGCCACCGTGCCTGGCTAATTTTTGTATTTTTAGTAGAGATGGGGTTTCACCATATTGGTCAGGTTGGTCTCGAAATCCTTACCTCAGGTGATCCACCTGCCTCAGCCTCCCAAAGTGCTGGGATTACAGATGCGAGCCACCGCACCTGGCCATTTAGTTCTTTTATGCAGTTTAGGGATATGGACAACAGTGCCTGAGCAGAGTAGGACAAGCATTTTTCTCAGAAAACAAGTCAGTATTCTTTTGAAAAAATAAAGAATTATAATCCTCTCAGATAATCTTGTGGTAAATAATTTTGTCTATTTTTCAAAGGATTATATTTTCCAAATACATGAAATAGTTTTTAATTTTACTTCAAACAGGTTTTGAATATTATTTTCAGTATTATGTTCTATTAAAAGTAATACATTTAAGATAATGAAGAAATTAATAACAGATGAGCTATAAATATTCCCCTACATGTAAACATTTTATTTCATTTTTTTCCCTCTCATCTTAGGTATATTAACATTCTGGCTGCTTTGTTATAGTTTCTCTGATGCTGAAATAGTTACCTCCAGAAAAGAAATGTTAGGGGTATTTAATGCTTGACAGTAAAATAAATACTTTTTCTTAAAGAGTTGAGAATTTAGCTTTCTTACATTATCCCTAACCCCCATTTCCACTTTCCCTGTCATTCCAAAATAATTTTTAGGTAAGCAGATTGAGTGCTGGCTCCTGCAGAGTACCACCAGAATGATTAGTTGATAAAGCAAAGGAGAATTTATTACTGGCAAGTAAAAGCACACTGCCTTGACATAGCCTTGGCTGTATCTTCAAAGGTAAAGACAGGAGATTTAGTTTGAAATTTCTTGGGGTTCTGGTTTAGGGTAGGTGTTTCAGTGCAGGAGCTTAATGAAAATGGATAGATTTATGATAGAATAGATTAGGATGGTTGACAAAGCAAGGTGAGGTTTTCAAAGTGAGTCTTGGACCATGATGTTAAACTTTTGTTTTCCCTGAGATTAATAACTGTCTCAATTTAGGGCTTAACTATCATTAATTAATGTCCAAACTCTTCAACAGAACCCTAAAATTCCTCTCTGTATGGGCAAAGACTTCAGGTGATCTATGTTTCATTTTTACCTCTTGGAGATACCCTTCTAGAGCCTCCTGTCCTCTGTCTAATGTAGCCTGCTTGCATTTAGCCCTGCTATACAGATTTCATCGTTGGATTTCTCTTTGCCTGTCCTGGATAATGAATTGTACTCCCTCGATCTTATATATATCCCATCTTTTGTTTACTCTCTCATATTGGAGGAGCCATCCCCTAGTAGTTTTTAACGGGTCTTTCTTCTGTAAATAATGCATACATAGATAATTGATATGGTAAATATGGTGTTTTCTTTTTGTCTATTATAATGCTAGAGTTTCATTACAAAAGTATATCACAGAATTGCTAAAAATTTGGAGAAAATGAACGTTTTCTTACAGAAATGAAATGTGGAACAACAAAAAATGATTGTGGGTAATTATTTGCTTTTTAAAGTTCTGGAAAGCTATCTATGTAAGTGATTATGAGGATATACAGAATTGAATTCTGTATTTTAATGTTTCAACTTGTGAATATTTTTATATTTTTGATAACTCTACTAGGCAATGACATTTAATGATTTTGAAAATTTGATAAAGACTTGTAAAATTTTCTCTCATAAACAAAGATTAAATAATTATATTGTAATTTTATCAAACTTAAAAAACTTTTTTCACAAATTATATCCTGATGGAATTTGAGTTTTATATTTTAATTGACAAAAGTTATGTCTTAGAAGGTGTTTATAATCTCTGAAGATGGCATGCTGAAGCTCAAAGGGACAAATGTATTTTTTAAATGAGATGCCTTGATTCAAAGGATTTAAAATGTATTTTTAAAAGCTGCTGCCTCTCCGTTTCTCCAGGTTGAGTGCCAGTAACAATGATTTGTGCCTAGAAATATATCAGGTAGATTCCAGGAAGGATTTGGGAGAAGAGATTTCCCTAGGATTACAGAGGGTTTTCAGTCTGGCTGTGACTTCATGTTTCTAGAGACCAGATAGACAGTAGGCTGCCATTTCCTTTGGAAACTAGGGCCCTGGAGTGAAATGAGCCCTATACCACTAGTCTATCACTCCTCCTCCATTTGTGGGAATATCAGAGAGAATTAGCTGAAAGAGATGATTTTAAAAGTTTGCCAACATTTGAACTATATCACCTACTGAGGGAAATTTGGCTGCCCTTCTGTTTCCATAGACTTACTCCTTGGCCATGAAAAGCTCTAAAAATCATTATCTCACATCTGCAGAATAGGCTTTGTGGGAGTGGGCCTGAGAATGATAATGTCAAACGAATGGTATACATAGCCAGTGTTTTGATCATGGACTATTGTATTGATTTTACACTGTTTAGGGTCTAAAGGGTTGAGAGAAGTTTGGGGAATAGTACACATAGGGAAGGTAGAAAAACAAGGCAGCTTCATTTTTCCTTTGCTTTCTGAAAAACCATTAAAAAGTGGTTCTGTCGTAATTCTATCACTTTTATATTTTCTTTTAATAACAAAAAAATACAGCATTTTGGGAAAAGCTAGGTTTGTCAATTATTTTAATGCACTTGCCTAAACTCTTACTCAGGTCTTAGAAATGGCAGTTTTCAAATGGAGGGAAGAAGAGGAGGGGGAGGAAGAAAGGCGATGATTTATGGAAACAGTGAAACAAGTTTTGATTTAGGTTTAAATATTGGTCACAATAACATGTCAAATATACTTATTTTTATATTATTCAAATTAATATAACTGAGAATTACTGCAAATGATGCTGCCTTTGAAAAACATTTTATATGAGACATGGCAGTATGTAATACTTTGAGGAGCACAGCACTGGAAGTCAGGGTAACTGGAATCTTTCCCTGTCTCAGCCGCTAGGGACTGACTGTATGTACTCCTGGGCCACCTTCCCACCACACCCTTATTCTCCCCCTGCAATAACCTCAATTGGTCACTTTTCTAGGCGAATAATAAGGTTGTAGACTTGGTAATTATGAAGCTTCTGTAAGATTCTGTTACTCCATTATATATAAATCTTTTCAGAAGGTCTATGTCTTTTCATGATTAGGTAGCTTTTACTTATTTTTTATTTGTGTTTTTTTTTTAATAATTTGGTCCTAAACAATTCAATATTTGTTAAGGTTAACTGTATTTAAACAGCAGTGGTGTGTTTTTGGAGTGGTGTACATAAATATAACAGGGTAGATTTCCTATTGTAAGAACTTCTGATATGAGCTTGGATGAGAAATTGCCCTTACAGTGCCCTTCAGTGACACTTACCATTATTTGCTTTTAGTTTTATGGGAGAATCATTAATGTATTGGTTCATTTGTAACTGATGGTTTATTTCCAAGGTTTTCAGAATAGTGAGTTAAATAGCTTTAAAATTCTCACTATTGTTTAGAAGGCTAACTGTATAAATTTAAATGTTAAGGCTTTTGAATGGCTTCTTTTTAACAGTGATTTTTTTAACAAATGTTTGATCATACTGTATTTGTGCTACAGTTGAAATGCTGAAGTAGCATTTTGGCATCTTTCCCAAAAGCATGCTTAAAGAGGCTAGCGGCAGCATCTCTCCCTGTCTCCTCAGTGCTTTTTACCTTGCGAGTGGTGCAGCTTGTTCTGCGGATGTACTGAAACCCTCCCATTTAATCTGCAGTGGAGGAGAATGGAGCTCACTGACCAGTAGAAATCAGTGAGGTAGCAGTGTTGCAGTAAATAGAAATGATTATATATTTCAATAGCTTAGCAAGAAGATATTTATAGTATTTTTTTCTTTCATCTGATTAATTTTTGCTTTCTGTTTTCTTCCAGAGAGATGTGGATAATTTGCCCTGCCTCCAACATCTCTTTCTCAGCTTCAACAATATATCTAGGTAAGTGGAAACTCTCAAGTTGTCGTTTATTATAACTTGATTGTATGGATTCTAGCACTTTAGATTAAGATTGGAAATACCTTGGAGAATTTTACTAGCATGGAAGATTTTAAATTAGAAAATGATAAGACAAAGTTCTTTGTGGAAAAGCAAAGCTCTTGTTTATTCTTGCCTGTAATGCTAAGATGATGAAATTAATATAGCATGTGCTTTTGATTTAATTATGCTTTAGAGTTGTCCTTTTGTAAAACATGAGTACATGGAAATTTCAACATATATTTTGCTGTCCTTTGTTTGACATTCACAGCACTGGTCAGTTGAATTAGAATTTCTTTCATAAATTATCAGCTACAATTTGTATAGCTACTAAGCAATTTTAATACAGCAGGCTATATTTGTCACTGAGCCACTTGCTAATTAGGCCAAACTGCCTTCTAGCTTAGTATCTCTACTTAAAATTAATGCTGCTAAGAGACAGTGGATTAGAATATAGAAATGTATACATTTAGTTTTCTAACGATTTGAAGCATATTATCCTTTATATTGAGATGATGTCTCATTTAGAATTGAAGCTGAGACATACAGTAAGACTTTTCAATGCAAAAGGGCCCCTACTTTTTCTCTAATTCTTTCCTTCTCCTCCTTCCCAGGAGCCACTTAGTTTGAACTGGGCTTTTTAATGCCCCCCGCCGTTCTTTAGTTTCACTTTAAGGCTGTTCTTTGAATCTGCTTTTATAAGAGGGTAAAAAATATGTATAAAAAGATTTAGAGCGTATCTTTTTCTGAACTCCAGGTCTATGCTTGTGTATTAAAAACCAGTTTAATTTTTGTGTGTTGTCTGTTGGCATGTTTTTTGCATGTCTGCCATCAGACTTGTTTTAACCCAATCATCCTGTACTATGTCTCTAAAAGATAGAAATTATCTAAAGACAGTGAGCTTTGCAAATAGACATTATTTTACAGAAAATACTGTTACTCTTTCTCTTTTTTCTCTTCTGTGGAAAAAAAAAATTGAAGTTTTTTGATAGACTTTTCATATTCTTCTTAGTGTATTTCGAATGCGACATTCCAGGTGCCATTCTATCTTGTTGGGGAGGTAGAATTTCTTTTCAATGGCAATGGAAGGGTCACTCATTTTTTTTTAAGGGAATTTCTTCCTAAAAATCATAAACAACTCTTTGGAGAAGAGATAGTCTCTCATTTTTACAATATGTGAAATATTCTCTGTTTAAGATACTACAGACTTACAGATTCCCCCCACCTGTGGCGGAACTCATTACTTCTTTTGCTTCTTGTTTATGGGGAGTAATTTAAAGAGAGATGTAAATTTGGTTATATAGGGGTTATGATGTTCCCAGGTCCCCAGGATATCTGAATTTCTGAACTCCTAAACGCCTAGCTCTGTAGGAAGTTGGTGTTGGTTGCCTGTATCTGGAAAACTTTCTTCCCAACCTGGAAAGGAGTTCCGCTCACCCAGCAAAATAAAGTTAAGATTAATGAGATTAATATTTATAACTTTTTTAAAAAGTGTGATTTCTCAAGAAAATAAAGATAGAAGTCAGCCAACAATTTTGAGGCTTTTATTCTCTCTGTGATTGCTTTCTCTGTGTTTTTATATAGCTTTCACAGTATACCATCCTCTAGTGTTTCCAGCAGATCTGCTTTTGAGGCACAGTGTATTTCCTGCTCTGTTTTTGTTGACGCTTGTGGTCCAGGAGGTGGTATAACGAATATATTAGATCTGAGGAGGGAAAAATCAGAGAGAGTAACTTTGAAAACATTTCTGTGAACTTTACTCAAGATACAGATATCTCAGATAGCTGGGCTGTCAGATAACCTGTAGTGATAGCTACAGTATATATTCAAGGCACAATTGTTCTTCTATATCCTGGCACAATAGAGTTGCCAGGTTTTACAGTCCCAGCTTTCTGGGACCTATCTATCATGGACCCTAATTCAGTAGTAAACTTAAAAGTAGGGCTCAGGAATTTGTACTTTTATTTTAAAAATGCAGCTGACTTAAAAATACCAATGGTCTGTGTTTTTTAACTTCAGGTCAAAACCCATATAGGGATCCTAAGGTCAATTTAGTGATTTAAAACCAGGTAAATTAAAATGGAATGGAAAATATCAGAATTTGTCACACATTTTAAGAGCATACACTGTTTCATAAAAATTTTCCAGTTTTAATTATATATGGGTATGTCTATGTATGCATATGTATGTATGTTATTTTACTATAGACAATGTGGAAACTGGGTTACAATGTAAATATGTTTCTTACTGTGGGTTAGATGAAAAAATTTGAAAAATTCTGTGAGATCTTGCTACATGCATTTATAGCTTCCTATATTTCCACTATTATTGCAGTGTTAGAGTTTATTGTACTTTCATTTTATATTGTCCCTTCTGTTAGACTGTAAACTTGACAAAGGCAGAAGAATATGTCTATACTGCTCACTACACCCTCTTCAGCATCTAGCATGTATGGGTTCTTAGTACAGGTGTTACTAGCTATATTTAAAAGATTTATAAGGAGAGGCCGGGCACGGTGGCTCACACCTGTAATCCCAGCACTTTGGGAGGCTGAGGTGGGTGGATCACGAGGTCGGGAGATCGAGACCATCCTGGCTAACAGGGTGAAACCCCATCTCTACTAAAAATATAAAAAGAAAATTAGCTGGGTGTGGTGGCGGGCGCCTGTAGTCCCAGCTGCTTGGGAGGCTGAGGCAGGAGAATGATGTGAACCCAGGAGGCGGAGGTTGCAGGGAGCTGAGATCGCGCCACTGCACTCCAGCCTGGGCAACAGAGCGAGACTCCGTCTCAAAAAAAAAAAAAAAAAAAAGATTTATAAGAAGAATTTAATTCCTCAAACGGAAATAGTTTTCTGTGTGATCTAAGAACTCTGGTATGTCCTTTTTTATGTTATTACTAGGTCATTTAGTCTGTGTTTAATGCGTGGACCTGTGAGGTTTAAAGCCATAAGCAAATCAAAGTTCTCTTGGCAGTTGTTTTGGGATTCCAGGTTAGTTTACTGATTTGTCAGTAAGGATCTTGCCCATAATTTCTAGAGAAACTAAACCTTTTATTTATGCAGTGGGGTGTATCAGGGGTAGGGTGGTGGGTGTGGTGTGCCCCAGGATATAGACATTAAGGAGGTTCATTTTCTGTAAGGCATTTAAAAACAACAAAACTGACAAAAATAGTGTTGCTTTTTATTGTCACCTTGTACTGGAATTTCTAACCTATGTCACTGATAAAATTCTCTGCCAGGGTGACCTCTCATACCTCTTTTCTTACTTTAGTAAGACAATGTTGTTTGGACTCAGCTTTTTCTTTATGATGTCACTGAAAATTTTAAACTAGGTTTCTTTCTCTTTTTTTTTTTTTTTTTTTGAGGAAGGAATGCTGTTTTAAGTTCTCTAATGACCTTTGTTAGTACATATAGTATGGTTAAAGGTCACTGAAGCACACGGTTTGGGGTGTGACTTTTCCTTCTTCACTATTCTCCAAGTCAACATAATCCTCTAGGCTATTTTCAAAATTTTGCTGAAAATGATGTATAATTTTACCTTTATCAGGAAATCATTCTCCTTGCATTTTTCTTAAGCTATATTTCAACTTGATAAATCACCCTATATCAATTATATTTCTAGAAAAGAATCTATTTCTATTTAGGAAAACTTAAACTGCCCTGCAGGTGTCTAATTTAGTACTAGTTGATATTTTAAGAAGGAAATTATTTCACTGACCTTCAGAATATATGGATATTTTTTATGAGCTCAAGTTGTTAGATAGTATTCCTGTAGATGAGATATAAGGTTTTACTCCTGTACTTTCCAGGATTGCACGTGTCACTTATGTTATTTTGGCTTGACGGAAATTCATTTCCCTTTGTTCTAGTATGCAGCATACTGTTAGAATGCCTTTACTTTTCCTTTGTTAACAGATAATCAATGATATGCAAATCTTCTTACTGAGTTAAACAGAGGAAATCAACTATTGACAGATATTTTCTGACCATCTGCTAAGTTTTAAATTTGAGAAATGACTACATGCTTGTCAAGGAAATTTCATTATCAGTACCCATTTATCTACTGAACTCCTCTTGAGGGGTTTACCAAGTGGTTGATGTATGATTCACCTTCAGACAAACATTTAATTGCATTTTTCTAAATGTGGTGGGCATAATGTAATGGGCACAAAAACAAGATTTAAAAATAGGGGCATTTGTTTTCATCCATGCTGCTTTATTCCTTCTTTGTGAGTAAACCCCTCCGAGTATGGTAAGGTGGCATGTAGTGCCTTAGTAGGTCTGACTGTAGGGCCTAGCTACAGCTTTTGAATTCTTTCAGTTAGAAAATAGGTGAAAAGAGATATTCACAACTAATGACAGAAATGTTCTACCACTTCAGAAAAATAGACGTTGAGGTAAGATCAATTTGTTTGACCATCCTCAGGGCTGATGTAATTATTGGGTCGAAATTTATTTTATTTGAAACATAGCACTTATACTAAAATAATTTTTCTACAGTTTTTCATTGTATCTTATTTCAATGCTACTTTATTAAAGCGCTGTTTTTCCTTTTAGAGATCAAAAGCAAAAATTATTCTAAAATGTTATAAAATAGAAGTATGTTTAAAATGAACTAACTTTATTTTCCTCATTGTTCTTAGGACATTCAGTTTGTTATAGATGATTGTGTTCTGGTTGTGATGCTTTATACTCTAATATAAAGTCTTATTTTAATTTTTTTACACAAGTTAAGGATTACTCAGTTTAGTTAATTTTTATTTTGTTTTATTGTTTTATTTTTGTATTATAGTCAAAATGACTTCTTATTTCTATTAGTTCAAATGTATTTGCTGATGTCATGCTAGACAGATTATTGACTATATAGGCAGGATATTAACACCACGTACTCTTGTCAAGTGGCAGTATGATTGAAGACATTGGAGATTTTCTTCTGATTTAAGGGAACCAGCATTACTGCCATTTA